TATATATGTGGATTCTGTAGTGATGTAAAGCGATGTAAAGGTGTCACAAATCTTCGTGAATCACACTGTCATTATCGTCGCCGTTGTCGTTGTCATAGTCGCACACGCACCGATGCACGCACACACACGCACGCGCTGTCACTGTCAAGCTATCGTAATTGTTATCGTCATCGTTGTCGTCGGTGTTTCGTGCACGTTCGTGGTTACATAAAACATTGAAGAGACAGATTCTGTTGGTGACGCATCTTTGCATCTTCGTTTCGTCGTCTAAATCCTACATTATTCACGAAGATTAACCAAGACTGCCTAAAGAGCATTATGGAGACAAGATCAGGAAAGCTGTACACACTCCCACCGTCATCGGCCAGTCTTCCAGAGCTGTCAAAACTGCCATATAATCCGACAATGAAATTAGCCTCAGCAGGCTATGCTGGTTTGGCTCAAAATGCGAGTAAGGGCAATCAGGAGGAGGAAGAATCGGTTATATTTTCAAGATCATCCAGCTCCATCAAATCTGATTCTTCACATTCTTCACGAAAGAGTGAGTGGGTAGATTTGGAAAAGAAGGTGGCCATGCAGAAAGTTGAACTTTGGTTCGACAAGCTTGAGGCAGAGTTAAAATTAGAACAGCTCAGGCGTAAGAGAGAGCTAGCCGAAACACAGGCTCTGCTCAAAGTAATTCAGGAGGTTGAGAAACACGAATCACAGGAGGACATTGGCGCTGAGATGGATGCCCCTTTGTCGTTCGCTGCACCTGAGTTTGTACCATTTACAATCGAAGCTCCTCTGGTCGATGCACCAGTTCCTCACTTTGACATTCAACATCCTATTCAACCAGGCCCAGGTAATGCATCCTGCTCGGCTCATGTGCACCAGTCTAGTGCGGTCAAGGACAAGAGTCTAATCAAAGAATTGGTTGACTCCTTCCGATTACCACTATTACACGTTGAAAGGTTTGATGGTGACCCTTTGAAATGACCTGCATGGGAATCAGCTTTTGCCAGTCTGATAGAGAACAAGGCTGTTTCTGGGAATGAAAAGCTGAATTTACTTAGCCAACACCTGAGTGGTGAGCCTCGTGCAATGATTAGTAATTACATTTTGCTTCAAGATGACAATGCCTATTACCTTGCCCGTAAGGAGCTCAAGGATCGTTATGGTAACAACTCCGTCGTAGCTAGAGCATTCTTGACGAAGCTGCAAAATTGGCCAAGGGTCAATCCTAGAGATGCGCATGGTCTCAGAGCATTTTCAGACTTTCTGAATGAGGTGAGCGCGGGGAAGAAGATGATACCAGATCTCGCGGTGTTAGATTACCCTCAGGAGAATTACAAGCTGGTGGCTAAATTAGCGAGTTATGTGGAGAACAAGTGGAGAGGTGTCGTACAAAGCTATCTAGATATGGAAGCCTTTCCTAGCTTTGAGGTGTTCACTGTGTTTATGAGCGAAAGGGCCGGAGAAGCAAACATCCCGATGTTTAACGTGGTGCAATCACCTAACTCAACCCATGGTCAGCAAGGAACAGCCCTGGGTTGGAAAGCATCAAAGAGGTCGTATGCAACCCTTGCAGGCTGAAAGGGGGCATGTGAATTGTGCAAGGGGAGCCATGAGTCGGTGAATTGTCGGAAGTTTGCAATGATCTCAAAATTATGATGAGAAGATCAACCTATTGAAACAGTGGAAGTTGCTTGATACCTGGTCATAGATCCAGGTATTGCGGTCATCGCATGCAATGTGACAAGTGCAAGGGCAGGCACCCTACTGTTCTTCATTTGGAGAACAGGAATCCTAGGCAAGAGGCAAAGGAAAAGAAGTCTGTTCCGGAGGTTACCTCGTCCTGCAACACTGATCAAGATGGCTTGTGCACTATGGCTATCATCTCGGTAGTGGTAAAGTCTCTGAGGAGTAATAGAACCACCCAGACGTATGCATTCCTAGATCCAGGTTCAAGTATATCCTTCTGCACTGAGAGATTGAGAAGTCAACTGGGTCTTTGCGATCGCAAGGCTTGGATAACCATTGACACTATGGGTGATACAATGCTATAGAGACATACATAATCTCTAACATGGCAGTGAGCAGTCTGAAAGGTGATAGAGATATTCAGCTTCCGAATGTATATACGAAGAATTCCCTACCAGTGACGAGGGACCACATCCCAACCCAGAGCGATGTAAATAGGTGGGATCACTTGAGAGGCCTCGTAGTGGTGCCAGAGATCGAAGAGGAAATTGGTCTGATGGTGGGCAATGCCGTTGCAGAGGCTTACACTCCGTTGGAGGTGGTCACAGGGCCCCTGGTTCGCCCTATGCAGCGAGAACAGTGTTAGGTTGGATACCATGGAACATCATCCGTCACGGAGCAGCACACAAGAGTGGCAACAATAAATAGGGTGGAACTTCGAGCCATTGAGGACCAAGAGCAGTTGACAAAGATGGTAACAGAAGCAGCAAAGATTGGTTTCCCAGAAATTGGATTTGCAGAGAAGTCGAGCATGTCTGTAGAAGATAGACGGTTTGTCAAGTTAGTTGATGAGAATATGAAGTTCGAGAATGGCCATTATGTCATTCCAATACCCTGGCGAGATGGGAATGTGACACTCCCAGACAACAGACGAATAGCACAGAGATGGTATGCATTATTGGAGCAAAGGTTAAATGCTGACCCTGAGCTCAAGGCTAAGTACACTGAGTTTATGAATGAGATGATGTGGAAAGGATATATGGAATAAAAGTGGAAGAGGAAGCACCTATTGGCAGGAGGGTCTGCCCCATCATCCAGTGTACAGTGTCAAGAAACCAGGCAAAGTAAGGGTTGTCTATGACTGCTGCTAAGTGGGCTGGAGTGTCCCTGAATAACATGCTGTTACAGGGGCCGGATGTGACGAATACCCTGATAGGTGTGCCGATGAAGTTCAGACAGGAGAAGATTGCAGTCACTGCAGATATCGAGGGTATGTTTCTGCAGGTGGTGGTTGCTGAACAGGACAGAGACTGCCTTCGGTTCTACTGGCAGCCCACGGAGGGACAAGCTGTCCTGATGTATAGGATGACCAGGCATTTGTTTGGTGCCACTTTGTCTCTGGCTTGTGCCAACATGACTCTGAAGAAGACACTGGCTGATCATGGTGACAAGTATGGGGTAGAAGCCAGGAATGTGATGGACAAGAACTTCTATGTGGATGGCTGCCTCTCCTCTGTGGCTAGCCAGGAGAGAGCATTGGTCTTGGTGAATGACCTGACTAACCTTTGTCTGGATGGAGGCTTCCATCTGACCAAGTGGATGAGTAATGATAAAAAGGTGCTAGGTGCCATCCCCGAACAGGAAAGAGCACCTGAGCTAAAATCATTGGACTTGAACATGGATGATCTGCCAGTAGCGAGAGCCCTTGGTGTGCAATGGTCACTTCAGTCAGACACACTTAGCTTTAATGTAGTGCCTGTGGAAAGAAGCTTAACCAGGAGAGGGCTGCTATCTATCGTAAGCTCTGTGTTTCACCCACTAGATTTGGTAGCCCCCTTTGTTCTTCCAGCAAAGATCCTCCTTCAAGAAGTTTGCCATCAAGGTCTGGAATGGGACGAGCCAATCGATGGTGCTTTTCTGCAGCGATGGGAAGTGTGGCTGCAGGAACTGGTGAGACTCAAAGAATGAAGTGTACCCAGATGCTACAAGTGGTAAGTTGGTACACGAGGTACTCAAGTTACCCAAAGTTGAAGAGAGTAGTGGCCATGGTACTGATGTTTGCTGAGAAATTTAAGAGAGGCAATGACAACAGGTCAACTTGCACTCATCTAACCTTGGATTACTCGAAGGCTGCAGAAAGACTTATTTTGGCTCACGAACTGCAGATTCTTCGCAGCAGAATTAAAGGCTCTGAAAGGTGGTAATGTTGGGGAAGTCAGGAGAGCGTTGAGACGTAGCCCGCTGCGAAACCTAGATCCCATTTTGATTGATGATCTCATATCAGTAGGCGGTAGGATGAGAAGAGCAACCCTCTCAGAAGAAATGAAACACCAGGTGATTATCCCAAAAGATTTGAGAATTTTACAACTGGTTGTTATGGAGGCTCACGCCCAGGTTGGCCATATGGGCAGAGCAGCTATGCTAGCAAGCCTATGGCAGAGGTACTGGTTGATTGGAGCAAGTTCAGTAATCAAGAGGGTGGTTAGTCGGTGTGTTACATGTAGGAAGAATTGTGCTGGTGCATCAACACAGCAGATAGCATCGTTTCCCGCTGAGCGCGTGATGAGTGACAAGCCACCTTTCGACAATACAGGCCTTGATATGTTTGGTCCCTTTGAGGTTAAGCAGGGAAGGAGCATGGTGAAGAGATATGGTATCCTGTTTACTTGTTTGGCCATGAGAGGGATTCATCTGGAGATCGTCCATACAGCGAATGCTGATTCCTGCTTAAATGCCATACGCAGGTTCATCTCCAGGGGTGTACTCTATTATGGAATCAGAGTATCCGGTGACGTTCAACTGCGCTCTATTATTGATCACATGACCTTTTGAAGACATCCGAAACCTACATTGTGTTGAGGTGGTTTGATCGTTGAGAACAATTGATTCATCATGGCGGACATGAACTGTCCACTTACCAATTACCAATCCAATTACCGATACAACAATAAATTTCAGGTGTTCATTGATTGAATTGAATTTGAATTAAAATTTCGATATATTATAGGCATAAAACAACATACATTTGACATGTTTTGGTATGGACACACGTAAACTTACAATGTCGTCAACAATGGAATCTCAGTTTTATTTGTATCATAGCTAGAGTGCGGCAAAACATCAGTACTAAATAAAATTTCGTATACAAATGGCAAAAATGCAACTTTGTCCGCTATTTTGGTTCGCCACATTTGGTCCATTCGTACTCTATTTTCATTTCCACCGGAGAATTCAGTCGGAGGTTGTGGAGGCGTAAATAGAGTACGCCCCAGGAGGGGTGAAATATCATTGTTGAGGACAGATAATGGCACGAATTTTGTGGGCACTGAGAAGGAGCTAAGAGATGCTGTCAAGGCCTGGAATCCCTGAGTGGCTGTGGCAGAAGGGGATAAGCTGGGAATTTAACCCCCCTACAGCCTCCCACTTTGGTGGTGTTTGAGAGAGGCTTATAAGGACTGTTCGCCGGGTTATGAAAGGCGTGTTGAAGGAGCAACATCTTAGACTGGACAATGAGGGTCTCAGTACCTTATTCTGTGAGGTAGAGAACATTGTGAATGGCTGACCAATATCTACGGTATCTTCTGACCTGGACGATCTGCAACCGTTTTCTCCAAGGATGCTGTTGACCATGAGGGAGAGGACGTCAATGCCTCTATATGCCCGGTGTCTTCGATAGGAAGGATGTTTATGTCAGGAGACGTTGGCGGCAGGTCCAGTATTTGGCGGACTTATTCTGGACAAGGTGGCGCAAAGAGTACTTGTCCCTATTGCCAGCAAGGCAGAAATGGCATAACCCTCAATGGAACCTTATGTTGGGCGATATTATGCTCGTTGTCGACGACTCACTGCCCAGAAATATCTGTCTTCTTGGTAGAATCGTGGACGTTAAAGCAGACACAAAGGGTTTTGTGAGATCCTGTTTGTTTAGGACTAGGCATTCTGTGTTAGAGAGGCCAATTGCGAAACTGTGTTTGTTATTGGAGTCTGATCGAGTGAAAGAGTAGAACCAGTATAATGATGGAGTTAAACGGACTACCGATTACGGAATCGGTCAATGGTCGTTATCGAACCTTTCACGTTGAACATTGTGTAACTTTTGGCTATGGTTTGTAGGACACGTAACTGCGGTGAAACATAGCACTGTGTTATGTAATTGTTTTACAAGTTAAGCCTATATGCGTCAATCACGCCCCAGTGGGGAATATGGCGGCACACGCAAAGTTCGTTTTGGTTAGTCGCTCGTGTAGCAAGCCTTTTCTATATATATATATATATATATGTGGATTCTGCAGTGATGTAAAGGGATGTAAAGGTGTCACAAATCTTCGTGAATCACACTGTCGTTATCATCGCCATTGTCGTTGTCGTAGTCACACGCGCACAGACGCACTCGCTGTCGCTGTCAGGCTATCGTAATCATTATCGTCGTCGTCGGTGTTTCGTGCACGTTCGTGGTGACATAATAAAACTTTGAAGAGACAGATCCTGTTGGTGACGCATCCTTGCATCTTCGTTTCGTCATCTACATCCTACACTATGTCTGACTCTATCTGTTTATTTTATGCCCAATTTTATAATAAAAAAGAAATTGTCATTTTTAATTTACAATTTTAATGTTACTATGATAAGGTTGTTATTACATTATCGAAAACGTCTCCTTTTTCAGACCAGAAGCAGGAGCATCATGGGCTGAAAGCTTTCTGCAAGTAATAGCATCCTGCGTAACTGAACGGAAGTGAGTTTAAGAAATCACTTGCGTGTGCATGTGTTTATTTGTAAAATGATGTAATATTTGTAAAAATTTTGTTATTTATTTGCTAAAAATGAGATATTGAGAATAATTACCACTTTTACATATTACTTAAAAATCGAGTGATTTATCAAAATCAAAATTAGGCAGTATTAATTTTATACCACCACATATACTTGTATAAAACATGAACCCATATATTAGAATTGTGTTAGTAGTTACAGTGTAGAGGTTTTTAATATAAATACTATTCATTACAGGTTCATTAGTGATTACGATCGCATATTTTCATTCGTTGAGGACATTGAGCTGTTAAAGCAAAATGGATGCTCACTGTATCCTTTACTATAATCATCAACAGTTATTGTGCTGTTTGCTGAGATTCTTGGCAATGTGTAATTTTGCAGTTGACTGCAATTTTAGATGTGTATATTGTTTGCTTTATTTGAGTCTAATGCTCTCTTAAATTTTGTTGTGGCTTATTAAGCAATTGGCACTGTGGAAACCATTTCTTCTTGACTGCATTATATCAGAGACATGACACGCATTGCATTCATCTCTAATGCAATTGTTGAAGTCAACAGCCTTCTCGGGAGACAGGAAAACAGAGGTGCAGCAGCATCCTCGTTATCCACACAATCTTTGAACATGGAGGCTGAAGTACCTGCCACAGCTGCATGTGTTAATGGTGCTGATAATATGCCCACGTCCCAGGAGGGTGAGGTGTGTGAGATGAAAGTGTGCATGGTATCCAGCTATCCATCACCGAACCATTTGTGGTATCATGTCACGTGTTTGTGCATTCACCTGTTATAAACTAATGTGATCACGCCCAAACATAGTTGCAAATTGAAAGCTGTACCATATAAGTACCTGTACATTGTCTATTTCTTCATAGTGTATACAATACTCTTTCTATTGACATGCTAATTCCTGAGTTCTACTGGTTTCTTTATGGTTCTGCAATTGATGCACACAGGACTATGACAGTTTAGATGAAGGAGCGTGTGCGGGACCAAAATTGTCTGGAGTTGAGCTGGAGTCTCTTATCTCCAGTGTGAAGGACCTGCTCCCCGATCTTGGTGATGGATTTATAATCGTGAGTATATCGATTCGGGATGCTTAAGTAATACACTGAAACATGACTGCCAGACGTGGAAATGAATTTTACAGTCGAGCGCTTTGTGACAACCTACTAATTGTCCATTTGGGTTTCTAGTTCAGGTATTGCTTGTTTGCCACAAACTGAGCAGCGTGTAATGGTCTCAATATTTCTGACATTTTGCGTTTTGACCAACCTTTCCATACCTTATTGTGTTGCGTATATTTCTTTCCAAGTTGTGAAGTACACAGTGTAAGGGTCAGCCTCCCCCGTCAACTGTTGGGAGTTGCACTTGGACTTCTCTTCCCCCCCCTCACTAGAAGTAGGACAGAGGGTGGGAAGGTTTGAATGAACCGAGAGAAATGGTAATCGGCCCTGTGTGCTGGGAACACCACCAACAGGCAGACATGGCAGTAACACAGCAGACTGGACAGTCTCCAGCCGGATATCCGCGCGAAGCGCTCAAACGCCGCGTAGCGGCGCATTTTAGCAATGTCGCTGCCTTTTCCCAACGCCAGTATACGCCGTTCCTTTCCTAGGGTTAGGTTAAAGCGGCTTTTCGCTGAATTGAGCAGTTCTGCCCATTGCACGAGGGATCGCACTACCCAGTTATGTAGAGACGGGCTAGAAATGCTGCCAAATTTTCGTAGGCTACTAGGCGCGCTTTCTTTTCTGTAATAACGGAGTTTTTTGTTGACATTGTAACAATATATAGCGCTCATGCGTTAGCGTTGAGTGGCTGAGTTTAGGGGATACGATATATAGGAATTCGTCTTCGCTATTCGTAAATCGTAATAATTACAGTTAGTTTCATTGTCACTGTTATCTGCTATTGTATCTCTGCCATAGTTACACTCCTTCATCAAACTAAAGATTTCAACATGGTGGCAGAAGTGCCCTAAACTGTGAACAGTGGGAAGCTTGAACTGTAAGTGCTTTCGTAAGAATTCACGTGAAATTCCGGAGTGCTCCGACTCGGACGGCCCAAGGATAGAGAACATGAGTCCCAATAAAAACCAATGTGCCTCGTACTCGTGATTCTACGTGCAGGCACCTAGGCTATATATATATATATGATATCTAACACGATCCCCCAATGCGAGCATCGAATTGTATCCACACCTACGAATACTTCTATTACTACAAGTACATGTTACAATAATTACTAGTAGTAGTAGTAGTAAGTACTACTAGTACTAGTACTACTAAGTACCAGGACTACTAGTACTACAGTATACTAGTACTAGTACTAGTTACTACCAGGAGCTAATAATGACAAACTGTGTTACCGGTACTAGTAAGTTACTAATATTTAATTGACGACTCCTGTAGTGTTACTAGTACTCCTACTAAATATAATAAAATATAATGCTAACTAAAATACGAAATCTATTTACTACCAACTTCTTCATGTTCTATAGCCATAGGCCTACTCTGTTTGACCTATTATGCCGAGTTCCTGTAAATTCCGTCGAAATCCTACGTCCAACGTACGCTGCCGCTGCCATTGCTCTCGCCGGCGCGACTGTGCACGCTTACACTAATATATATATATAGCAGTAGGCAAAGCGTGCTGCCAAAATCATCGCTCGACGCCTCACTTCATTTGAAACTTTCACAGCACGAATACACATTCAACAGCTTCCATCTTTGTTTCTCCTTGAACAACAGTATTCACTTGTTATAAAAACATTAATGTCTCTGTTCGTAACCGAGCTGTGTCATGCGAAATCACACAAAGACTGACGAAATTCTCGCGTTCGCGGACCTTGCCCAGTAATGGAAATGGCTGTCAGCCGCAACACTGCAACGTTTTTTGCAACGTTCCAATGGCGAGGCTCGTACGGGGATTGGAAAGCAGTGCGCGCCGCGCGCCGCCTATAGCCATAGAACTGGAACTCGCTTCCACCATGCTCGGCTTAGGCTTAGCTCCACTCGATGCGGTAATCGAGGTTGGGAGTGAGTCCCAGTCTATATAGCCTTTGTCCTTGCAGCCATTTCCATTACTGGGCAAGGTTCGCGAACGGGAAAATTTCGTCAGTCTTTCTGTGATTTCGCGTGACACAGCTAGGTTACGAACAGAGACATTATGTTTTTATAACAAGTGAACACTGTTCACGTCCCAAATGTCTGCCCTCTGTGTCCCCCACTAAAATTGTGGACTGTTCGCTGGCAGCTATGGATGCGTGCGCCGGCGTAAGCATTCGGCGCACAGATCTATAGCTGCCAGCGCTGCATACTGTCGTAGGACGTTCCCGCGGTCGCGTGCGCCTTGCCGCGGAACTGCGCGCAAGATCTGCGCTCAGCACTTCGGGTCAACACCTTCTTTCGGCAACGCTTCTCTAGTATCCCGTCTCATCTGGATGCAATACTACTGACAGGCAGCCATCCACAACAACTACATTTAGGCAGGGACGGTTATTACCACAGGCAAAGCACTCATATGTACAGTCGAGACACAGCATACGATGTGCTTTATATGCGCTCCGGACTGAAGGTCCGCCCAGAAGTTAACGCCATCTATTGGCTATCCATGCCAAAATACGTTATTCATGCATCAACTATCTCATGTTTACCACAGTGCAGTATGGTTGACTTGTGCGCAGTGCATGCTTGTACAGCTGGTTGTGACGTCACACATTTGTTACATTGGTGCAAGCAACGTACACAGAGCAACATGGTGGACAATTAAGTCTACGCTGCCAATGCTAGCGAATCAGGGTAGAAGGGTGTGGAAGGGTCTCGCCACTGTAATACATGAGAGAGTATATCACATGCTCATCTTGTTCGGTCACTCTTCCTAACGTGGGTTGCAGCGTATGCCCTGTCACTCACCCTGACTCGCTCAATCAAATGCTGGCTTCACGAGTGAATTCACGAGACCGATAAAAAGCATTGTCCCTAAGCGTTTAGTGACTTTGATAGTCACAGCGGAAGGAGGCTGTTTAGCCAAAGAGAGCTGGTCAAGAAGTGGCCGCATCTTACCCCACCATTGCTACTTGTACCCGGGTCACCGTGTGGCACCACTTCCTAATCATTATCCTAAATTACGATGTACAATCTGCATTGCAGACCCGTGACTATTACAAGTCTCTCAAAGGTTTGCTGACTGAGGCAATTTTGTTGCATTTTAGAAAACAAACTGGTTTGAGTAGGGACACTGCTGAACAAATAATGCTTTTTGGCCAATAGATGGTAATCGATTATACCATGAACATATCTATATAATGATCATGCACACTATGGGATGTGTTATTGCAATGAGGCTATTTCAGAATGTTAAAAAATTGTCACTATGTTCCACTCTACGTTTATTCCCAAAATACCCTCCTTCATGTAATTTTAAACTCTGCTGGTAGCTTAGTAAGATATACAACTCTGACTTGACCTTAGTCTTTACTGTTAGCAGGTTATATTCTACAAGTCGAAAATGATACATTGGGTACATGCATCTAATTACTCGACATTGTATTGCATATTTCTGACGTTGCACATTTAACTAATCTGAATTGGAACTATAATTTTCATGTACTCATTTTTTGTACATTGAAGCTAGTCATCAGAACTTGCAATACTTCTGCTAAACTGTACTGATCTTTGCCATCTAGACTAAGTGGTGTTTTGTTGAAAGTTATGAAATGGGATTGTTGCAGGAACGCACCATATAGTGCGCTTGCATGTTCATTTTGTATACATGTTATTGATTATATTATATTATTATGCCTATATGTACCAACCCACTGTTGAAACTCATAGTTAACAAAGTGGGTTCAACGGTGTGAGACTGCGCCTGTGATTCAAGTTGTACTTTGAAGAGTGCAATTAAAATAAGACAGCATGCTTGACATGTACATAGCTGTCTGAAAGTAAAGGCCCCAGCACACGGTGAGGTTCGTGCTAAGCAGAAACCTCACTGTGTGCGGGGTCGATTTCACTGAGTTTTTGGTCTCACGAGGTGGTGAGGAAAATATCTGTCGTGTTTGATAATTTTGGTTTCACGAGGCTTAAAACTCAGCGTGTGAGGTTCCTGCTGAGCACGAAACTCAGTGGCGGCACATTTTGATTGGTTCTCACTCAGTGGCGGTGCATTTTGATTGGTTCAGCCGTGCACCCGCTCCAGTGACTGCTTCGTGCACCTGCTCCAGTCACCGCTTCGTGCAAACGTGCACCAGACAGTGGCACCCGCGAATTTTGGTTTCGCGAGGCTAAAAACTCAGCGTGTGCAGGGGCGTGAGGTTCCTGCTGAGCACGAAGCTCACGCTCCGTGCTCAGCACGAATCTCACCATGTGCGGGGGCCTTAAAAGTTCACTCTTGTATTTATGCACGTCTAAGTTATAATAAATATGAAATCTTGCTATGTATAGGAATGTCTGGAGTACTATAACTACGATGTAGAACAGGTGATTAACCATCTGCTGTGTGACTCGCTACCTGAGGCTCTGCAGGGACTTGATAGGGTTCTGCCAAGGTATGATAACTGTGGTGCTAGTTTACGCCACGTGTATGCTTGTGGTTCTAGTCATACATACACGACATACAGGGATGTGACCAGTGATAGCATCTTTTAACAGATTGGTTAGTTTATGAAGATACACTTATTGCTTAGAAGTGATCGTTCGCTAAGGTGATCAATGTATATTTAGTAGTTACAGCTCAATCAAGTTGCAATATACAAAATAGAAGATAATCTTTGTGAGAAATATAGATTTTTGTCTTGTAGCAGGAGTGATGATAAACATTGTGGAAATGAAGTATTACTGGTATTACAGAAAGGCGAAGAAGAAAGCCACTGTCTTGTCTTCAAGGTTTAACGTTTTCGATGGTGACGAGTTTGACGTGTTTACGCGTGACAAGATAGATATGTCAAGAGTGCATATGGGCAAAAGGTTGGTTCACTTCTTATTTTCACATGCTGTCATTTTTCTGACAAACACCACTACACCTAATGACCAAATTACTGACAGATAATAATAATAATAATAATAATAATAATAATAACATTACCAAGTTATTAATTGTATAAAACTAACAACTAACTTAAAACTATAGTATCAGGAGCAAGTTCTTATTTACTCCTGATACTATTACATTTCCCTTTACTTTTGCCTATTTATATATAGTTTATCAATTATTGTAATTAAAGTTTTGGTTTTTATACATGCCATGCCCATATAGTATAGAACGTGTAAACTTCTGTATAGAAATGTGTCATCGCAGGTTTCATGGTTTTGTAAAATTCTGGGTGAAGATTTCTTTTCAATGGCTAAGCTTGTCAAAATCTTATTATACCTCGAAGACAGCTCCAACCAGTTATGTGTAAAACGTCTGTAATTGTGTCTACATACTTAATCTTGCAGAATCACAAATTGGTGTACAGTCAAACCCGTATATGAGTGTCGTACGTAATTTCGTACTATGGGTACGCAATTAGATACAGAACTCGTAGAGTATGTGACAAGTACGTTTACTCAGCAGAACCACACGTGCATCACTGTCGGACCCGTGCTGCCATCTATCGTGACATATAACATAACTATAACAAACTATGACAATTAGCATCACTCAATGTAAATGCCCTAACTGTCTATTATAGACATGCATTCATCATGTGGAGGTGACTGCTAACACAGGTTTTGTTGTATAAATGAGGTGTACTGTGATATAACGTTGGCCCCGACTATGTATCTGCTGCGTGACACACAGAGAGGCGAAGGACACGACAGTCGTGCTGGATGACAAGTCTCACGTGGAGAAGCTGAAGGATTACATCCGTGAGCGCTTCACCGTTGTCAGCGACGACGACGACGATGAACAGGCGGACGTGTATGACGACGAATACGATGACACGTACGACGCCAACCAGGTCGGCGCCGACGACGCAGACTCCGCCGATGAGCTGCTCTCTCGCAGGTGAGACAACGAGTCACGCAGTCGTGATTAAGTGATCGGCCGCGGGCCATCGCCATGATGATGTGACAGACCGTAAGTGGCCTGCGGGTCATCATCGTGACAGTGCGGCCGGCCGTCAGCGGTCTGGCCCTCGTCGTGACGACGCGTTCAGCCGCGAGTACATAGCCCACGGGCCATCGTCATGGCGATGCGAGTATTTTAGTCCTGTTCGTCGTATCAGTTGAGCATTCTGGGGTGAGACGAGCTGGACAGTGATCTCTGATCAGCTGCCCACTGTGATCCAACCAAAAGATTTTGTGTAATTGCCTGTTCACTTATGTTGTAAAGCAGTGTGACGACTGACAGTGCGGTTGCTTCGGCGAATTTTCGATGTCCATAACTGAAGTAGTTATAGCTTGCTTCAAGCATATTTTTTATTGTAGGCCTTTTGTAACTCCTCGTGTTTTCACACGCAACGATGAAGTAAATGAAGACGTTCAGACTCCACAACAGGTATAGATATTATGCATAGTACTGGAGTGTTACGATGACGGTAAATCTACATGTGCTTTAGCCTGTACCATACGGTCCCAGTCTATAAAGAGGATAATAATAGGACTGCTGCAATGGTCACACACTGCTGGTTTTGGATCTACACCTCACTAGTTCTGCCTGCTCCCAGTCTCAATTAATTAGTAATTAAACATTCCTGGTTAGCAACCATCTATATACATTATACATCATTGTCAGAATCAAAATTAGTGTTTAGCTCACCTTGACATCGTCAAGATGAGCTATTGCCATTGGGCGTCGTCCGTCCGTCCGTCAACATTTGGCTATGGTCAACGATAACCTAAGAACCGTTTGACCCACATGTTTCAAATTGCATACAGTTGTTACTCCTATGGGAGAGATTTTCTTGCTGGCACGCCTACTTTTTGGCAATTTTTGGTATGTGAATGAATAAGGAGTGGCCACAAAACATATCACAGGGGTTACTAAATTATGCAAATTAGGTAGATTTTGGTAATTTCACTATGCATTTCAGTGTCTGCCTACGGTCAATGATAACTCAAGAACCGTTTGACCCACATGTTTCAAATTGCATACAGTTGTTACTCCTCTGGGAGATTTTCACGTTCTATTTTGGAGCACGCCAGTTGACGTACTTTCGAGCCACGCCCACTTTGGCAAAAATGGAAATGGCCATAATGATAAGTTAGTTCAGGTTCAACGGATTTTGCTCATTTTTGGTATATGAATGAATAAGGACTGGCCCCAAAACATATCACAGGAGTTTTTATTTTTTTTAAATTATGCAAATTAGGTAGATTTTGGCAATTTCACTATGCATTTCAGTGTCTGCCTACGGTCACAACGATAACCCAAGAACCGTTTGACCCACGTGTTTCAAATTGCATACAGTTGTTACTCCTATGGGAGAGATTGGAAGTTCCTATTTTTAAAGACGCCAGTCGACCTACCTTCGAGCCACGCCCACTTTTTGGCAAAAATGGAAATGGCCATAAGTCAATTTCACTCGTACCTTTGACCAAAATATCAGAAAAATGTCAATCTAACTGGTTAACAAATCTACAATCATATCTATGTGTAATATTGTGTTTTAGATTCTTCGTTACAATAATTTGACTGGAATATTTTATTGTTTTTACTTGCGCGATAATCGAAAACAAAAATGGGGATCATTTAGGCGTAGCGCCATCTCTCGCCCAGATTTCAGACTCAGATCTGAAACATTTATTTTCGCATCAAAAATTATGCATATATAATTATCAAGAGTATATATTAAATGGGAGATATGCTATATAATGGGAGTTCTCCCATATATACTCTTGTTTTATATAATGTAGGTGGATAGTTGCTGAATTAAAAATGACTTGTTGGCACTCGCTCATTTGTGTACTTTTTTGTGTAGAGCTGTCCAGACCAGTCCAGATGTCGGGCATTGTAAATTGTCCTACATGTGTATGATAGATTTGTATTCATGTGCACTGACCATTCACACTTTGAATTACATTGTGACCACGTTGTATGCAGGTCGGACTATAGCTCATATTTAAGTGGCTTTGAATTCAGTACATTTGTAATGTTATTATCAAGAGCGTATAAAGAAGGAGAGCGTACAACGGTGAAATGCTGAAACCATGTTGCAGTATTAGTGGAATAAATAAACTTTCCCCGTTTTATTTTGACGATTCTTGACAGTAATAAGCTGTCCTACCTTGCTAATATAAAACAAACCGCTTGTCCCTACGATGCCCCTACGCTGAGATAATGAGTGGTGAAAACCTGGTTTTTCCCCGAAATCCGAATCAAATGACTAGGCACTGCGACCCTCTCTCACTTTGTGGCCAGTGTGTTGCTTCCGGTCGCCGCTGTGTAGCGCCATGGTAGCGCTGAGTCACGTCATACTACCAGAGTTTACTATACATCCAGCGTGCGGTGGGCGTGAGGTGGGCACGGGTGGGGGTCATCACTATAGCAATCAATAAAAGACGTCATTCATTCCATTTGTCAATCATTGACCGAAACACGTGAGGTCTCCCGAAGTTATCTCAAAGCGAGAGAGGGTCGCAGTGCTTAGTCATCTGATTCGGATTTAGGCGAAAAAACCAGATTTTCACCGCTCATTCACTCAGCGTAGGGGCATTGTAGGGACAAGCAGTTTGTTTTATATAAGCAAGGTAGGACAGCTGATCAATAATACTGCAAAGAATCGTCAAAATAAAACGGGGAAAGTTTATTTATTCGACTAATACTGCAACATGGTTTCAGCATTTCACCGTTGTACGCTCTCCTTCTTTATATGCTCTTGTTATTATGTATGTACTATAGGATAGGATTTCGGGTTATTCTAGCAATATACTTTATACAGTGATGATCTCTGCTACGCTCATATTTCGAGATATAACATTCCCCCACACCAGAACTGGCAGATTTGATCACATTTCAGTCCGTCATAAATGAAACATTTACCAAATTTTAAATATCATCTCCCTCTTCTATCACACCCAAGGTGAGCTATAGTGTCATTGACACTTTCATTTCTTGTACAGTTGACAGAATTTTGTTACGTAAAGTTAACGAGGAAATTTGGTTAGATTTTTCATTCTCATAACTGACGGTCAATGGTTTAAGATAAAAAGTTTATATTAAGAATTATGTTAATTTTGTTTGTTTCCAACAACTGACCCTTGGTTTGTACCCATTCCTATACTTGGTTTTCATGGAATGTCATAAATAATTGCTTATCCAAATGTCCCTGGTTTGCAGAAGCAAGAGTTGGAGGAGAAGGTGACCTGGCGACCAGGGGAGTTTGTTCCGTTTGTAACAGACCCTGCCCTTCTGCGGGAAAAGGCTGAACAGCGTCGCCAAGCCATGCGAGCACGCGGAAGAGGCGGACCCCCTCCCTCCAGAGTTGAGGGCAAACCAAAGGGTCAAGGTCAAGACGGGTCAACAACACATGCACGCCAGCGCAAGGAGCAACATAAAGGATCGAAGGCAAATCACAATAGAAAGGCTATGGCATCCAGAAAAATGGCCAAAGGAATGTTTTAGCACATAAATTACTAACCTCATTTGCTCATGTGGTCTAGTTGTGATGATTATGTAATGAATTACTAACCTCATTTGCTCATGTGGTCTAGTTGTGATGATTATGTAATGCCATTTTATGCACAAGTGATTACTCAATCTAGCTGTTCATGTCATAAGCAGCCAAGGACAATGTACAGGATGTTCTTAGGCTACGTTCTAGTTGGGTACACGGTTTGTTAATGTATTTATTCGCCGTTCTTATTAAATATGCTCATTAAATAGAACAATTATAACAGTCACAGTCTCTGATTACTTGATCAGTCCTTGCACAACCTTCTTAATGAAATTTTATTGAACAAGTCCGCAGAGCGACAGCGCTCAACTGACGTGTACTGTAGCCAGGTATTCTTCTAATAAACTGGAAACCAAATCAAGTGCGCGCTCCTGCCACCGCGTTCGCGCTCAGAGCATATATCTAGGATACTACTAATACAGATCTAAAATCTATGATAGGCTTTGCTATACCTACTGGTAGTACAGTAATAAAGATACAGCTGTGTAACTTTAATGACTTCGCTATATTAACATGTTATCATGGATATGCGTCGAGCGCGAGCGTAGTGGTCGTGGTGGGGGAGGGTGGGGGAAGGCTCCTAGGGGCTCTAATAGCAAAAGCAGTTCAGTACTTTGTTAACAGTCAAGAAATCCATGTTTAACCCTCCTCTTGAGGGTCAAAAGGTTATCAGACACTTACTCTTCGCACGTCAGCGGAAAGTAGATTTCATGGTCCATTCAATAAAGTGATAAAAACGGTAAGTCAGCGCTGAAACAAAAATGTTTTGCACTCGGTCCCTTAGACCATGTCCTCAGAAAATGTCTGATATCTGACCTTTCCCCCACTGCCCTTTGACCTGTGACCTCCAATTTCGCGCTGGTGATTGGTTTCCTCCCCATCACACTATACATCGAATATTAAGAGCGTAGGTCGAGCCGTTGAGATTTGTGCCGCAATTCCGAATTTCCTCCTATACCCTTAAGGGGGAAATATTCCCTCTCCATTGACACATCTTGACCTTTGACCCCCCAAATTCGACATCCCGAGTCCTTTTCGCGACCCCCCCCCCACGTCCCGAATATCAAAACCGTACGTCGAGTGGTTAAGATTTGTGCCCAACTGTTGACGGACGGACGGACAAACATGCGATTCTACAAGCTGCATCTGACTTCGTCAGCTGAGCTAAAAAGAGACAACAAAACAAAATATTTAACGTGGCATCATTGATAGTCTACTTGAACGTAGTGACTATCATTATATTATGAAAACACACTAGTGACAATAAAGATACCATGATAACCAAGATCAAAATTCCTGGACGCTATATAATTGTAAATTTTACAAGAACATTGGCAATTACTGACACACATTGTAGGTAATGATGGGTGATACAAATCACGCCATGTTATTAAGTTGTTTTCACGGCACAAGCTGTCTGCATAAATGGCTTCGAATCGGTAGGTCATTCGACAACGCAGCAGGTGTGCGTAACGGTTCTTTGTGCTGGCACTTGCTAGCAGCGCGAGCTACGCGTAGACGTTTGTGGCAGCTCCAGCCTCGCTGGCTGTGATGCCGTGTTTAAGTTGTAACCTGTTGTTTGAGTTATTAAACCAGCATTAAATCTATACGATAAATGTTAGTTCTTACGACGGAGACATAACAATGGGCACTGTTGTTCCAACACTGTTGTCAGAAACAAAATCATCTTCACATTAGCCTTAACACTGACTTTTCTTGTAGACAATTGATAGAACGTTGTTTCATAAATTTCTGAGGAAATTTTCTAGAATTTTTCATTCCCGTAACTTCTGTCAATGATTGTCAATAACGTAAATTGAAAAATTAAAACGTAAAATTAAAAATACTATACTATATATTCTATACTATGTACTAATATCAATACTAATTTAGCTTATGATAACGGGCCCCTAGATAGGTTATGACGTTTGACACGTGAATGATAAAATGTCAGACTTATAGGTTAGATAACCTTGAAAATGGAAGAGAAGACACTAGTTCAATACACACACGTGATAAGTTGAAGTTACAAACACAAACCCTATACATTTAGCAGACATTGTTACATGTCAGATGAGCAAATTAAGATTGCTTGGACGCCAAGACACTGAGAGAAGATATTACATTGGCCAAGTAAACAAAAAGCTACTGAAATATATGTTGTGCACTGAAATCAGAATTGTAACAATAGTGTGTACAGTGGTGTATATGCCATTTTACAGCTGTGTCTTCTACAACACATGAAATATTTCAATTGCACAGCTTGGTGAGATAACATGCTTTAAATACATTAATTTCACACATCCTGTACAATGCTTTCAGAGGACACAGAAAATAATAAATGCTGACACTCCTGATGCGGATTACGTAATGGATAGTTAATCGTTGGTAGTTAGTTGATCGCGAGTAATATTCAATGTGATGCGACCAGAAGTATCGGGATACTGGCAATAGGTTATCTTCCAGACACAATAAATACAGCAATACACTTAACAGCTTTTGTTGCAACCAGTACAATAGGAGCTGCCATTAACAAATTAGTGTTGAGGTCTGAAGTCGGGGTAAATAGCTTAAACTTCAACAAGTGATATAATTAAGACAACATTATTATAAAAATCTGCTTTACAGCAGGTAACAATGGTTTTTAATAAACTTTTTATACATGGGCACCATGTCAACTATACCTACTGTTACATAATTCCTTTACATAAGGGCATTGCATAAATATCTACCACACTGCCCGGTTAAAGGTGTGGTTTCACTGTCGCACTACAAAATGGAAAGTCATGTACCCTATAAGTCTGCACGTGCCTTCGGCTTGGTCTACGTGAATGAAACACTTGTTAGGTTTAGAGTTTGAGGCAATTAATAGAAACACTGGTAGTTTGTGTATACATGGCTGTATCAACACAATTCCACCACAGCTTAGTAAAAACATGGATGTTGTAAATTTTAAATATCTACTGCAAAGGTACTCCATAATACTTCCACATGCTTGCCACATAAGGAAGCATGCACCCAAGAGCTGGACGAGCTAAAGAGCATACAATGATTTTAACCGGGCTGAAGCCAGTGAGCTAAGAATGGCACACGAGGAATTATAACACCTTTTCTCTCAACTACTATCCGTCTGTATTCTTGACACTGTATTTTTCAAGTCCATTCTGGTTGATGATGCAAATGTGCTGCAAGGAAAAACAAAAGCACGTTTTAGAATAATTCGCTATTAATAATCTGTTACTGAAATATGCTACCACAAAACGGACTAGCTTTCTACTGCTGTTCATGGTTATAATTGACCAAGGTACATAAATCTGCATATTTTATCAGCTCCTAATGAAAGATAAACAATTAAGTAACAGAATCCTGCACATTTGGCTGAGTTTGTGCGCAATTTCTTTTACAAATGCTTACATTACAGTCACGAAAATATTCATTGTAATCAAGTGCGTATCCAACAAGGAATTCATTTGGAACTTCAAAGCCTATGTCTGAAATGAAAGAAAAACATCGGAAAACATGAGACAAGACCCATCAAACTGTTCTTCATGACACAAGCATATGTTCAGGAGCAGCAAATACCACTTGTCGGAGGTCACAGTATTTCTTGTGAATGGGGTTAGCCGCTAGAAACAGTTGCCGCTGGAGGGCAGCACATCTGCAGAGGTGAAGATTATCCGCGTACCCATATGCACACCCGGGATAGAGTGGGGGAAGTGGGTGTTTATTCTTTTGTGTGTGCTGAGGAGTTATGTAATATGTTTATTGAGATTCACTGTGATAGTAGTCGTGCATATGATTGTGAAGTGGGTGTTTATTATTTTGTGTGTGTGTGCTGAGGAGTTATGTAATATGTTTATTGAGATACACAGTAATAGTAGTCGTGCATATGATTGTGAAGTGGGTGTTTATTCTTTTGTGTGTGCTGAGGAGTTATGTAATATGTTTATTGAGATACACTGTGATAGTAGTCGTGCATATGATTGTGAAGTGGGTGTTTATTCTTTTGTGTGTGCTGAGGAGTTATGTAATATGTTTATTGA